GTATGCACACATTTTTGCTGAGGGCACTATGCTCGAGACTACAAATGTGGAAACAGCTCAGTTCTATTCCACAAATTGGTATGTTGAAGGTTTGTCATTACCAAAAGGAAAACTCTGAAACAGAGATACTATTCTGGGGGAAAACACACCAACCTAAAGAAGTTTACCATTCTCTTATGTTTGCCATGAAGAACATTTAGTGAAAGATTAAGTTCTGTTGCATCAGTCAAGTTTGTGTGTCATTTATGATGCATATATCGCATCGCACAAAAAAAACAAGTGTGGACTTGAAATAAGGACAAAGTTACCTTTACCGTGACATTAAATGTTTTACCTTTGGTCCATGGCTACAATACTCAATATTTTTTTTAGAATTTATATTTTCTTTACTCTATTATTTTAAATCTGCATCCACACAGTCTGTAGGTGTCAAGGCTCGGAACAGGGGACGCTGTTTTTAAAGGCAAACAGACAGTCAGATATCTCATAAGCGTTTATTTAAAAACAGCAGATCTGCAGTAACAGTAAGGATGTCTAAGGCAGGAACCTCTGCAGGAGGAAACCTCAGGTTACTGATCACGTTATACTGATGAAGGATGATTATGAACATGTGAGTCACCAACCTGGTTTTATAGTTCAGTCCGTGCCCTGAGAACAAGGTTGATTGCAGCTGGTCAGCTGTCAAAAAAGTGGGGCTGCCGATAGAGTCCCAGATGCTGTAGTAGCAGAGGAAGGATAACAAGCAGGAGATCAGATCTGAGAAAACAAAGGAAGGCAGGATAATCCAGAGGCTGAAGCCAAAGCTGGTGTGGAGGACATGTTAAGGATTCAGAACCACGAGATCAGTAGTCCGAAGAGGTACCGAAGGGAAACCCAGACAGGAAGCAGCTTCAAGTTCAGCAAACAGGCAGAATCCAGCAGGAGTCCAAAGACAGGTCAGGCACACAGATCAGACGGGAACAGGCAGGCTCAGTGGTTGAAAGACATAACAGGTCAGGATCAGGTCATTAGAAATTCTAAGGTAACGTTGAATCACTCTCACCACTGGTTCAAGAATAATCTGGCACTGATAACTGGAAGAAGGCAGGTTAAATAGAGACTGGAGCAGGTAACACAAATGAACAGCGATGCGTAAACGGGTGGAGTTAGGAAGGTGAACGAAAAGAGTAATCCAGCCAGTCATCAGCGCCAAGATTATGACAGTAGGATTCAACACCACTGTATTACCTCTGCCTCAAACACACACCAAAACTCAAAAAATGATCCTGAACATAACCGAACCCAGGGCTGTACTCTACGGGAAAATAGAGGTTGTTTAAATCAGAGATGAAAAGATGCTCTTTTGACTCATCTTTTCATAAATGATCCACTACCCCTGTGTCTTAAATTTGTCAAGGAAATACATGTTGTGAATGACTTCTCATTCTCATTGTGCTCTAGATGATGACCTATGATCTGTGGATAGACTCACACAAATGAACCCTCTTCCATTTTGTTCAGTATAAAGTAGCGGTTGATAGAGCATAAATCCCCACAGTGCAATGAATGTGAAAACAGCCTAAGACTGCATTCTAATCATTAAAATAAAGCTAGGTCTCACCAATCTGTCCTAACAATACAGCTTTCTTCATGTAATAGAGCATTGGTGACATTCTAGCATCATCAGTTGTAGCAGCCGCTGCAGCAGACCATCAGAGGAGCCTTGTTTGCTCTGACAGCCAAGGCAGGGGTGTAGAAACCAAAGCTTGGGGAGCCTTTTTATCAGTCACTGCAGAAAAGTGCTGAAAAAAAACAACAAAACTTACAGATTAAAAAAAAAAATTTTTTGTCTCAATATGCTGTTAAATATTTATATTTTCTGTTTTCTTTTTTATTTATTTAAACTTCCTTCAACTAGGAAAACATCTTAAAATCTTTAGTTTTCCAGACAATAGTGGAAGACACTATAAAATACATTTTCATAATGTAGTGCATAGTGAAAATTCTAAACCCCTTAAAACTTTTGAATAATTTCTATCCATCCATTGTTTACACCTCCTTATCCTTACAGGGTTGTTGTGGAGCATGTGCTGCATGTCTCCAACTTTTAGAGACGAAAGGCATAGGAGGTTAAATTAGCATATTGTTTTGTTTTTGGAATCAGCAGAGTACAGGCAATTAGAAGTTTCATACCATACCTGCTGCCATTGCCAGACAAAAAATACTATGGTAGCTCTGGTTAAAAGCAAAGCCCTAGACGGCTCTGGATAACAGACACACTTCTTACCAAGTGACCTAAGGTTAATAATATATTGTCTTTTGTTGGTACAGATTATGGTTTGCTTCAATACCGTTACTCACCCAGCTATGCAAGTTTGCCATCAATATATGGCTGTTTCTTCTGTTTGCAATGACCCAAGCTGACTATGTTGTTTTCTGGCCTTGGCACAGCTAGGTAGAACTATGGACCACCCTTTGTTTTTCAGTTTGTTAGGTGAAGATGTTGCACCACTCAGCTAGAGGTAATCCCATCAGATCGAGGATACTTTTTGGATTTTGGATTACAAAAAAAATTCCTAATTTATTGATAACATTCTGTTGCAATTAAAAAGGGATACCGAGTACTGTGCAAATATAAGAGTAGGATATAAGACATGGTACAGACTTGAAAGTAAGAAGTAAAGATCACAGTATGCTCACCTCCAGAAACAAATCTACGGCACCGGATAAAACTCTGCTAGGCAAAGGATTTGCATCTCCAAATTGCCTTTACTCTACAGTACACACTTTGCTCTCATTCATTCATGCCTTTAGTTTGCATTAAAAGCTTACCTGAAACAGGCTAAACAAAGCAAGACAGATGTGGGTTACCTTACTTTTTGGACAAAATGGGCTTGACAAATTGCAACATCTAAAGCTCCAGATAACCCATCCTTACTGATCAGTCAAATCTAATTTTGACCAGTTCTTCTTTTTTGGGTAATAAATATGACACAAAGAAGAGAGTATAAAATTGATGAAGGTTCAAGAATAAATAGGTCTTCATTATGTTTATTATTTTGACTTTTAAAAGTTAAGTTTGGTTGTCATATAATTGCAACAAAAAGGTGGTTTAGTGGGGATTTCAAAACCAATTCTGCTCATCACAAGAAAAGCTTAGGTTTCTTTTTAAGGTCGGTATCTTTATATTTATCTACAAAGTTGTGACAAAGTTAAGATGCACCGTTAGATATTCAGTTTAGATACTTCTAGTCCCCTACCTGTCTCTGACATTGTTCCGAGTGATGGTGAGTTGGCTAGTTTCTACTGCAGAAATACTTAAAAAAGTGACTATGTTTTTATGCCCAAGGAACACAATAGTCGACTATCATCTGTCCTAAGATTGTTTGCATGAAATAACACTATTATGAGTCTTGGTCTTTGTCTTGGTTCTCTTTGGGAACTAGAGTTTGGACATCATGTTTTTCTCAGACAGGAAACGTTTTCTTCATCCACACCTAACGTGAAAGCTAATCTTGTACAGTTTGTGTCTGATTGTGCATCTAGCACTTTTACATCAGCATCTCTGGCAGCATGCTATAGTGAACATTTTTTGGAGACTCCTTTCAGCATTTTGCACTTTTCTTTTTGATTAGCAGATATTTTGAATGTCTTCTCCTTGTAGGCTAGTTTCAACAGATTGGAGTAGCTAAATTCACATTATTTTAGGGCCTCTTCCACTGCTCTGATCAGACTAAACTAATCAGACTGCTAAAAATACAGAATAATGATGTTATCATGTGACCCGGGTCTGATAAACCTGTTTATGATTTCTACATTTTATTAGGAATAAATTGTTGCTGTGTCTTGATAAATCATCACCAAAAACTGCATTCTTTATTACATTTTACAGTAATTCTTAGGTTTGCATTGGTTTATAAAGTCTTTGTCACTTGAAGTTCTCACTATTCTTACCAGAAAATTCATAATAAACCATTTTCCTAAATATGCTACTTTACTTCATGTATGTTTACCTGTTGTTTATAAAAAAACTTTTTGATTTATATATTTGACCAATTAGACCTTTATTATGACAAAAGAAAAGAATACAATACAATACATAACAATACAATACAATAGAAAACCCATTTATTGTCCCACAATGGGAAAATTCTAGTGTTACAGCAGCAAAAAGATTATAGAAAAAATTGTCACACAAATAAAGATCGTAGAAAATTTATAAGAATAAAATAATACTGAAGAGTTAAAAGGATAAACAATAAAATACTGTACTCTAAAGTGTTTTGACAATATAAAAACTGTGCATCTGGAGAATAAATAACTAAGATACAGCTATGGACATTTTTACAGTAATGGATATTTGAAAATAGCAGCAATATGAGAGAAGTGCAAAATGACAGCAGCATGTTATTTAACTGGCAATGGTAGAAACTGTGCAAAATCAGCATGAATGTAACAACTTATGGTGGTTTTTTGGGAACAGTGGTGGTTATAGAGTCTTACAGCTGCTGGGAGGAAGGATCTGTGATAACGCTCTCCAGGGCATTTAGGATGCAGCAGTCTGTCACTGAAGTGTCACTGAAGGAGCTCTCCAGTTCTGCAACACCTTTTGTAATCTTAAGGTAACAGATATTAGTTGTTAGGTTTCCCATTTTGTTATGAATAGAAATGTCTAAATGTCTTATGTGCACTTTTAAAATAAATATAATTAAAAAAAATTAATTTTAAGATAAAAGATATATTTTAAACATCAGCTATCTAAAAAAATAAATTCTGAATTTATGTTGTGTTGAAACTTTTAAGTCATTACAGTTAAATTATTTTAGCCGCTGGAAAGAAAACATACCCAATTTGGATAAATATCATAATTCATATTGTTTATAAAGTACCTGACCTTGTAATATAAGTTAGTGATAAACTCGTTTATGAATTATGCTTAATATGTAAAAATATTTAGCATTAACTTAATGTTTTGTGTTTTTTGTTTTGTTTTGCAAAAGCAGATACAAAGGAGAAGTGACCATGGGTATTCTGCTGCGAGTTTTCTGCTAACAGAGGACAGACAAAGCGGGGTGACTGTCCACAACCCCCACAAGCTTCAGTTTTTCGGGCAAAGAACAAACAAAAAGGAGAAAAGGCAACTGGGGTAACAGTGAGAGAGGCAAAAGAGGAAAAACAAGCGCAAAAAGGAGAGAGTGAGCAGGTGAAAACAGTCGATGGATGCTGTCCGGATCGAGGGGGCAGCAAGTTCTTCACTGACGAGGAAAAAAAAGATTTCAAAATTGAGTCGAAGGATAGAAACTCGCCGTCAGGTAGGGGTCAGTCTGCATGCTGCGTTTTTTCCTTCATAGACATTTTTTATCTGCATCAAGTGAAACGATTTAATTGTAAAAGATGGTTCCGGTAAAACGGTGGTTTACTTTATAAAGCATGCTTGCATAATCCAGAATGGCATGCATGCAGTAACTGAGTACTGTATGCTATCAGTGCATGCTCAGAAGTTGGTTCGTTGAACATAACCCCCGGATAGCAACCACCTATGAAATAATGTCAAAAATAACTAATCTTTTGTGCGTGTGTTTAAGCATTCCTCTCCAGCTCTGCTGAATGTGATGTGGAGAACTGTCCTGGTCATGAATATGTAGTAGACAGAGTTTGGGAGGGTGTGTGATCTGCTCTGCTCCGCATCAATTCAGTCTTGTTAAGCAAAGTCAGCAGAGTCATTAAACTCTTCTCCAAGGACGCATCATATGGTCCACTCTCACACCTCCCACACCTGCCTCCATCTCTTGTCCTTTCTCGTCTCATCATCTCACTTCTCATATCAGCCGCCTGCTTATCACCCTACCCGCTGCTTTTTCAGCTTAACTCCGGTGTCAAATACTGTAAATCCTCTCCTGCTCAACACATACGTGTCTGTTCCCTAGCTGCATCTTTGAATGTCCACTCTTTCCATCCTCTCCCTAACTTCTCCTCAAGGCATGGTGTGTGAGAAGGGGATCCAGATCCTTCTCACCACCGTGGGGGCATTCGCTGCCTTCGGCCTGATGACGGTGGCCATAGGGACGGACTACTGGCTGTATTCCCGTGCCCTTATCTGCAACAGCACAGCCAATGTCACCCAGGACGATCCCCACAACAAGGACAAGAAGGACCCCGGGGCACTCACCCACTCGGGGCTGTGGAGAATATGCTGCTTGGAAGGTAAAGTAAGAAATTGGTGTTGAAAGGTAGAATCTGGTGTTATTTTAGTTTTTGGTTAATTAGGTTTGCTGGACAATATAAGCAAAAACAGATACGATAAACTTAAATTAAATGAAAAACTTAAAGTAGGTATTTATCACCCAAGTAATACCATCCATCCACATGCAGTTTGATTTGTTTTTGCTTTGCTGTTTCTCACATTTTTAAGATCTTCAAACCAGGTACACATTTTTATTAACTTTTTAAGGTTAGGTTAGGGTTTCCATCAGCTCCGCTTGACCTAGCTCTACTTCCTCCAACTGGTTTTCAAATATATCCATTACTGCTTTTCCAGGACCATTACTGGTCTTATTCGGTCCTGCTAAGGAGTTGATGCAATTAAAGATGAGAAGGGAGGAAAAAAGGCTGTAACGGCACTAAAAACGCAATGATGGAAACATTCTAAAAATGGAAGGATTTGTTAGAGCTAGGCCCATTGGAGTCAGTGGAAAAGGACGTTACAGGTCTAAGTTCTAAACTTAAGACCGGTTTATGTTTAACGCATCCACAAGGTCCAAGTGACCAGCTCCTATTCCCTATGTACTGTGTCCAGGCAGCCTGAATTTTCACACCAAGAAAAATCTTTACTTGAAGAGTTGCTTATGAAAAGAAAAAAAAAGGGGGACAAGCGGCAGCTTTTACTAGCAAGAGTTTGCAAACATAACATCTAGAGGCATCTTGTTATTAGGCCCATAAATATCACCATGATCAATAGATTTTGATTCTTGGAAAGAAATTACTGTCAATCTTGAATGACAGAAAGAGACGTTTGAGATGTTGGAAACAGCTGTGTTTTCTACCACTACTACTTGTGTGGTGTAGGATTATGGTTTGTACTGTACACACTTCTTGCCTTGCCAGCAACAATGAACCAACTCATTTCAGTTCTTATTTCCAAAAGAAAATTAATTTAAGTATCCAGTTACAATCTGTTACAAAATGACTGATGCATCTCTGTTCTTAAAAACATTGGATAACTTTTTGAAATTTCACATTTCTTTCAGATGTAAATGATTTAATGTAGAAAAAGAATTTTCAATTACCATAGTTTTCCCTCTTTGATTCTATTTGTTTCTGCAAAGAGGGATTAAACTCAAAAAATAAGTTGAAGTCATGGAAGCATCTTAGAAAATAGTAGTCTCACAATGATAAACAGTTTTCATTTGTCTTTGTTGCATGGTGCCAGAGTTACAAGAAAACTATTTTTTGCATAATTGCATTCTAATTACATGACACTGAAGCGTAACCTCCTCTCAAAACAATCTATTACTCATCGTCTTTGATTCAGTCTGCATTTATTGCACTCTTCTTCTGATTCAAAAGGCTCTGCTCACTCACTGATTTTGGATTTAAAAGAGTCAGTTGATACAAAAACTGGCAGCAAACCACCTCTCGATCTGCAGCTTATTACAGCAGCACAAGCTGCTAATTTATTATACATACAAGTGCCTGGCTGGAGCTCAACAATGAAGGCAGGGATGGAGTTAACAGTAAAGCAGCTACAGTCAAAAGGTTGAAGTGATCTTAGAGAACTGTGCCTTCCCTCACATCCAGAAGCCTTCCTGGTCCCATAAAAATCCTTTTGCTCTTCTTTCAAAGCATCTCCAACTCATTTTGAGTTTGGTCATTGTACAAAGCTAATTTGTCCTCATTGCTAAGCTTCCTGATAGCAAAGCAGCCAATTAGAGATAAGCTCAAGCCCTTGCAGCTTTGCTGCAGTGCAACCCCCACCCTCATCTTTCATTACCCCACTCTCCCAGTTTCTTGCTTCTCCATGCTTTGTCTCACTCTCTAAACATTACATTTCATCTTTCACCGCTTCTCCTGTTTTCCTCTCCATAATTTCCTCTGCCATTCAGTCCTTTCTCTCACATTGCAGTGCAGTAAAGCTGACCGTGCTTTGGCACAGATTGGAGGTCAAGTATCCTTGATGTCTGTGGAGTATTCAGCAGAGACAGATGCTCAGTGGTCGTGCAGTGATGCAGTGAGGTGTAGCTGTGGTGGAAATGCGGGACAGGATCGCTTTAAAAGATTTATGTCTGTGGAAGGAAGATGTCCTGTTCTACTCTCCTTCATTTATAGGTTTCTAATAGTGGGGTGAAAATGAGAACTACCCAATTTTTCTCATCTATGAATTTGAATGAAATCTTTTTGTAAAGTAAATTTATTTCAGTAATTAATCTAAAAAAGAAAACAGAGTAATTTATTTCAAACATTTATTTCTGGTAGTGGCTTACAGCTAAAGGAAACTCTAAAATTCGAGTTCTTAGAATAGTAGCACATAAAGATAAAAAAACATATTTTTTTTATCAAAATAATGCCTGACTAAAATGTATTTCTATGAACAGTTGATGGTTGTTTTTTCTGTGAATTACAGCATCAATGCAATGTAGCATAGAGGCCATGAGTCTGTGGTTTGATAGCAGTCCCCCTGGATGATCTGCATGGTTGGGACTAGAGTCTTCCTATCAACAATACTTTCTAGATCATATATAAGCTTTAGGTCAGACCATTTGCTGTTCAATCAAGCACAATGACACCATGATCATTAAATCCAGTATTGGCACTAACAGTGTGAGCAAGTGCCAAGTACTGCTCAAAATTAAATCAGTCTCCCCATAAAGCTTTCCAGCAAAAGGAGGTATGAAGTCATTTAAAAGTTCCTGGTAGATGTCTGTGTTTACTTTGGACTTCAGAAAACACCAGCAGTTGACATGACATGGCACCCTAAACTATCAATGACAATGACAAGCATTGTGGAATCTTTGTCTCTCCAAATTGCACCACTGAGAAACAGCCCAGGGGTCTAATTTATCAAGCCTGAGTACGCACAAAACAGGCCTTGAAATGTTTGTACACAGCTTTCCATCCAACAGTTGTGATCTAAAACTAAGCAACAGCTCTAGACAAACTTGTGGACTATGCGGACCTTGGCGCCAACTCTGACCCATGTGTATTTAAGTGTCTACATGCTCAAGAATGATAAAAGTCGTGTTGGATGACTTTTGGTAAACTCTTTGGCAAAGATGGCAGTTAAGTGGCAGCATTACCGGTCAGTTCCAGCTGTGCAGGTGCAGCCTACAGTCTCCACCTCTCCATCCTCCATAACCACCATCCCAGCATTTTTGGCAAGAATCATTCAGACACTAGCTTGGTTGAATATCTGCCGTCTTGTATACCAATTCGAATTGTTTTTGTATAATCACACAGGCAACTTGTATGTACTGATAAGCCTCTGAGCTTATCACCATTATAACCCCCTCTACTAACATTAGATTAAACAAAATGTGCTCATTGTAACATTAGGCCATTTACACAGGTCAGTTTCACAACAGGATAAGGAATTGATAAACCACCTTTTATGAGAAATGAACAAGACTGTACCCATTTTAAAGCCACTGCTACCAAGAGTTTAAAAAAAAAAGCATTAACCTTGTTCAACTAGAAATGATACCAGAATTAGCTTGGTGGCAGAAATAAACAGTAAATGACTCTGAAACTTGTCAATATGAGCTTGTAAGATTTGTCAATATTATGAAGGGACTAAAAATCCAGGCTCACAACGGGCAGATCATTTTCATAAAGATTTGTTACAAACCAAACCCAAAGAACTTTCAGAGGAGGACATCATGTCAGCCAGAGGAATAAACATAAAAACTGTAGACTTTCCAGAGGCTATGTCATAAGTAGATTTAAGAGTAGATGGTTTCAAAAGCATCATGATCTCTTTTGTTAAAAACTATGCAATCAGCCTGTATGAGGAATCACTAGCACATATAGGGAATGACTGAAACTAGTAGAAGCATATTGTCTATTAGAATAATAGAGAAAATCAATTTTTTATGTTTCTTAAACTTAAAAGGTTCTTATGTAGATCTGTTAATAGAGACGGAAAAAGCAATTATATTTTTTTATGGACTGTCGATATGTCGATGGGTTTAATCCTGCATATCACAGGCAAGGGGAGTGGTGGCCTAGTGGTTAGGGCATTGCGTTTGGATCCCAGAGGCTCTGAGTTCAAGCCCCACTCCCTCGAACTGCCACTCTGAGTCCCTGAACAAGACCCTTAACCCCCACACTGCTCCCTTTGCGCTGGATGATGGCAGCGCACTGCTCCCTAAAAGGAGGGGTTAAATGCGAGTGAATTTCATTGCTTTTTACTTGTGACAATGTAATGACAATAAAGTTAAATTCTATTCTAGTTAAGTTTCTAGATTTGGCGATGGCAGCAACTTACTGTACTGTATGTTAAAAACTGAAACCCATCGGAGTTTGTGGGAAGATGGAGGTCATTGGTTTATTCACCCTCAGTTAACACCACAATACTCAGGTTTTTATTAGTGAGAAAATTTCTACATTACACATAATATGATAAGATGTAAACATTGGTAGGAATACTTTTGCTGTTTTGGGGCAGGATCTGATAATGCGAGCTAACTGAATTCACGCTCCTTTGTACCTACGTCTGCTTTTTGTTGGTTTTTCAGACTAGCCAGTGGAAATAAAAGATCAATGAAAAACAGATCAGCTCGTCTCAAATCTGTCAGTTTCCCTTCATTTGTGTCTCTTTGTTCGATCATTTCATCACTTCTGTCTCATAATCCATCAGTAACTGTCTTCATGCAAGACTTGGGTAGTTATCTGTCGGACTGTGTGTTTGCAAACATAAAGATTTTTTTACTAACCCCTTCTATCTCTGAAAGCAGTTCCTGTAACTAGTATGAGTTCTCTAAAATGCTGAGGTGTGCTATATGCAAATCGTTAAGACTACGGTTATAGGTTTTTTGCATTAGCAGGACTAAGGTCACATTTTTCTTCCCTTATTTCCCAGGAGTGAAAAGAGGAGTGTGCTCTCAGATAAATCATTTCCCAGAGGATGCAGACTTTGACCATGATGGAGCAGAGTACGTCCTACGTAAGTCAATACTCATGTATCAGAAAGAGATCAGTAACTCAAAGAGGGTTTTACGGTTTTAAAACAATTATAACATGAATATGTATGGGGCTATTTCAAACTGCCGTTAAAATAATATATTATTAATTAGCACATTTAGCCTAACATTGCCTGAATTGTGGGCCAAACAGAAAAGAATAAATCAGACCAACTCTGATCAATTCTATTTAGCCTTCCTGTTCATTTCTGCAGTCTTTACTCTCGCCAAATTTCTAACTTCTCTGTTTTCTCACAGAATTTTAAACTGAAATGTAAATGTTTTCCTCATTTAAACTGAAAGTAGCTCGCTTTGGGTCTTCTTTCCTCGATAATTTCCTCCACCATGAATAATTTTGCTGCTAGACCCTTTTTTTTTGGCATTCCATCAGATCAAAGTCGTAGCACACATAAGCCATGTAGACAGCAAATGTTCATCACTGCTACAGAGGTGACCTAACCACAACTAAAATGTCCCTGGAATAATTAGATTGCAGCATTGCTTAATCTTATGCCACTCTATCTAAATGGTTTAATTACTTTTTGAAGCTTATTAGGTGAAAGTAAAGGTGAAACTAAAGGCATGCCTTGCTGTTATATTAAGCTGGCTAATAATGAAGAAACTTTGTTTTTTGTTTTTTTACTCAAAGAAGTGACATTTCACCCCTGTACCGTATCTATTAATATTAAGGGTAGGTCAGTGTAATAATTGGCTTCTGGGAAAAATAGCATCTTGTCAAAATTGCATGTTTCATCACTTTGGTTTTGGATTACATGCTGTATCAAGAATATGAGGACCTTAAAAACAACACATACTCTGAATAATATTACAGGATTTTATGTTTTAGTATTTCCCCTTCACTTACTTATGCTTAGGCAAATGAAACATGATCAATAACAGTTTAGGGCTAAGCTATAAGATTGATCAAAATGCAGTCAGCAGCCTGTTTGCACTATACGTCTCTTGTATCAGATATAGATAATGTGAAAGATATGTGCAAAAAAGTAGTGTATTAAGTGGAGAAATTGGGCTTTAAAGCACTTTTTCCTCAGAAGATTATGTCCCAAAGAAGCACACAAACAAACATATGACAGTGTGTTGAAAGGCAAGGGAGATGGGGTGCCCTAGTTCGCACTCAGTGCCCTGCAGTCATGTCTTTCTGCTCTGTGATATGCTACATGTGAGCCTGTGCATGCATAAAGCCTTTGCTCTGTTTACAATGCTGCAGAGGCATTTTGCTGGCATTTAGGTGGCATTTTCTCTCCAGTGGCCTAGTTGTCCTAGATGAGAGAGAGTGTTAATGTGTGTGTATGATTCTGTTTGTGTTTATGGTTAGCTAAGCCTAAAGAAGGAGCTAAAGCCAACATGAGAAGATTTTAATTCAGACTAGTGTGTAGATTTGAATACTTAATGTAAATGTTGATTAGGTTAGTAGACTAATCTAATCAAGTTTGTCTACTAACTTGATTATTTTAGTAATCACCAACTCACTAATTGTTTAGGAAGTTATTTCAGCAAATATATATATTTCTTTTTTGTTCCATGCTACATTTAGTTAATTGTCTTTCATAGGATTTTTGAAGGCTTTCCTAAATTTGTAATAGTGGTCTTTCAGTCCATATTTATTTATTTATTTAAAATAAATGTGTGTATTCTAATAAATTAAACCTACTTCTTTGTTACTAAATGGATGTCTAGTGAAATCAAATTACTGTTTTGGATTTTCTATATTGTTTTTATGTCTGATTGATGGAGGCATCTCATTTATTAACTTTTTTCTTTATTTTCTAAGGGCCAACAAGTAATGATTTTCTGTTAATAATAAAAGCGATTACCAGATGAAGTTCTTAGAAACTTCTTTCTTAACGTAAGATTTCCTTTCTAAACATTTGAAGTTGCACGTGTTACTGTCTTTACACTATTCTTCTTTTTTTGACTAAGCAGCTATTTTTCAATTGGGCAACTGTTAGGAAAAGGACATTTTTACAAAGTATTGGTGGCAATAGCACTGGTTTAGTAGAATCTTGAGATCAAACTTAAAAATGAAAGGTCGCATGAACCCTTGGTTAAAAAGATTATTTATTCTTACATATTGTTATAGCTTATTGAATTAACTGTGTTCATTATTTAGCATTATCCTTATATTGTCATTAACAAGATCATAAGAGTTGCTCCCGCTTATCATGATAATTGAGAGGTTTTTTTCAATAAGGATTTTACTGAAACAGGCTTAAATATCTTCCCTCCTACTGAGAGAGATGCTTTGGTGGAAAATTAAATATTTTTTTACTAAAAATGAAAAGTTATTATCCTGACATTGCTTTTCCTGTGCTATGAAAAAATCTATCTGTCCTTCTTACACGGTTCTTGAGTTATTTGTTATTTTTATGTTGGGATTAAATGGTTAATTAAGCAACTTCTCGAGCTTTTCCAAGACATTTTGGCCAAATAAAATACAACAAAATAGTTTTCAGATTTTCATCTCAAAGGAAAATTCCTGACAAGTATACAGTAGGTCTGTATGAAAAGGTAAGAGTTGATTTTCAAACAAAAGCTTGTTAAAGGTAATACTTATCAAAGCTACTCGTATTCACTTCTTGAGTGTTTTTACTATGTGAGGAACCCAGCTACCCAACTGAAAGGAAGTCCCATCTACTGTAGCTTACGTCACCCACAAAAGAAATACACAGCAGCAGTACGATGTCAGAGGAGTCATTTTTCAGATTGGGAAGGTGGTGATAGAGATCAATAAGTAGAGGTTTTGAATAAATGCTTTCTAGTACTAAGAAGAAGTATCATGCAAATTTCTCACTCTCTCTTCCAGCTTATCCTCTAGCTGTCGATTATGTAACAGATCATTCTATAGGGCACTGAACATAATATAAGGGGGGAATATATGACTTGAAATCTATTTAACATCTCCCAAATCCCAACCAATAGCACAGCTGTTCTCTGACAGTGCAAGAAAAAGGCTCTATTTAACTCCACAGATAAGGCTGTCCGAGCTTCAAAAAACTTGAAGTGTACAACAAGCTTTAATTATTAACGGTGTGGTCAATAACCAATCAAAACATGGTCATCATAATTTTGTAAGCAGCAAAGTGTGCTCAATGAATCCAGAAATTGTTATTTTGAACTATAGTAAAACTGACCTGAAGAAACCACTTACCAATTGTTTTCCCCTAAAATAAAATATTGATGCTGTTTATTTAACCCTGACACATACATGAGCATAAAAGTTTTATTTATTTTTTTCTATAAGACTAAAGACTTTTATCTGTCATCTTTATCATGTTTGCTGCTCACCATTATTTCTCTTTTCTTTTTTAGGGGTTGTAAGAGCTTCCAACATCTTCCCAATCCTTAGTGCCATCCTGCTGCTGATGGGTGGAGTTTGCATTGCTGCTAGTCGTTTCTATAAAAGCAAAAGGAACATCATTCTTGGGGCAGGAATCCTTTTTGTAGCTGCAGGTAATGGAGGAATATTTTTATGATGAGCTTGCAGTAAATGTCGATCAAAGTAAATTAAAGTAATTTACATGAAAATCAATGCTTTCATTCGTTTGCACATACATCCGATTAGCCAAAAGATGCTGGCTACCATGATAGCATGCAACATAAAATTGTAGTATTTTGAAATGATACTTTTAGGACTTTGTTGTCTTGGGTTTTTCCTGAAACAGATGACAGGTACAAGATCCCAGGAACTGCTGCTTCTATATTTTCAGAAGCAAAAACTTAGGCATGGAAAGGGAATTGAGGGGGTTGTCTATTCAGTTCACTTCAGTTTATTTACACAGTGCCAATTCAGAACAGTAGGTTGCATATGCTTGCATTTTGTAGTTGAGTCTGCAGCAATCCCTCAAACTAAGCATGCATGCAGTGACAGAGGGAAAGAAAAACTCTCTGTTATCAGGAAAAATCCTTAAGCAGAACTAAGCTTAGTGGGGCCTTGGCACAAGGCTGACTGGAGGTTCAAGGAGGCTGGTCTCAAAGAGGTTCTAAAAACCTTTATGACATTTCTGAATTCAGAATCTGTATCTCATGGAGGATTATGACAACAAATGGGGAGTAGCAAATTGGGGTTCTGGTGGTGGCTTTAAGAAAGACTACCAAGAATGTCTTCATCCTATCAAGGGATCACACTTCTGGGCTCTCAAAATCTTATCCTTGGGGGGACCCAGTATGATTTGATCTCTGGCAGATTCGTCTCCTTTTCACCAATCCTGTTCAGGATTTTCATGGATAGGATCTTATGACTCAATCATGAAGAGGATTATCTATGGTTTGGGAATCTCATTTTTGCTTTTTGTAGAGGTTGTGGTCTTGCTGGGATCGTAAAGCCTTAGAACTCAGAAAGAAGGCAAGGTTCTAGTTTTTCTGACCAATATTTGTTTCAACCCTTCCCTATGGTCATGACATATGGATCATGACAGAAATGACAAGCCCGACAGGGGTGGCAGAAATGAGTTTCCTTCACAGAGAGTCTGAACTAACGATTAAAGAAGAACTCAACATGAAGATGCTGCATCAGAAGCAATCAGCTCAGCTGGTAAGACATCACAGGAGGCTTCTGCCCCTGTTTGGAGGTTATCCAGCCATGCTGAATTTGGAAAGGCTCCAGGGCAGAACCTGAACCCACTGGGTGGACTATATTTATCGCATGTAGCCTAGGAAAACATTGGGATCCTTTATAATGAGAAGGAGAGTGTCGCTTAGCAGATATATCTGGGTTTGCCTGCTGAACATGTGATCCTATGACAAGAAGTTGGAAGACAAATGTATTGATAATCCTTTTAACTATATGTCTCTTCCGTAATAAGAGTTTATATTCTCATTGCATTATAAAATTGTCACTGTTGAGAACCATTTTTTTTATAATTGAGACATTCTTTGTTTTCGCCATTACAGGTTTGAGTAATATAATTGGTGTGATCGTCTACATCTCGGCTGCACTAGGAGACATCTCACCGAAGAAAGATGAAGATAAGAAATGGCAGTATTCCTATGGTTGGTCCTTCTACTTCGGGGGCTTGTCTTTTATCATGGCTGAGATGGTTGGAGTGCTTGCCGTCAACATCTACATTGAGAAGAACAAAGAGCTCCGCTGCCGCTCTCGCACCGACATCTTTAAAAGCACGACGCACGCCATGCTTCGCTTGCCCAGCTACCGCTTCCGCCGCCGCTCCCGCTCATCCTCCCGCTCCACTGACCCGTCCCGCTCCCGAGACCCTTCGCCAGTTGGGGGAGGCGGAGGGAAGAACTTTGGCCTGCCCCCCTCTGCACTGCTCTCCCAAGGCCCCATTTCCGTTTCCACTCTGCCCAACCCGCACTCTCGTTCGCACACGGCCCTGGCTGGAGGAGACATCTCTCTCTACACTCTTTCTCGCGACCCCAAACTGGCTGGATTGCCTCCTATGTATGGCACTGTGGACAGGGCCACACTCTACCAGCTCCACAACTGCTTCCCAAAAGATGGAGGCGGAGGAGGGGGAGTCATGATGAGCGGAACGCTGCCTTCACTCAAGTCACATAACCCTTCCAACACTTCCAACTCCAATGCACCAATGGCTAACTCTGTTGCTCCCCCACCATTCACATCTTCCACAGTGGACAGGGAGCGAGGGATGGGGACTCTGGACAGACTGAAGGGAGACAGGGAGAGCAACTCTAACACTCTTAATAGGAAGACAACCCCTGTGTAGAGGGTGATGAGAAGAAAAGTGGTGGGATACTGAATGAGGGAACATAGAAAAATAATAGGATAGCAGATAACTATCCTCCTTGTTCACTGTTATTTAGTCAACTCGATTTCACAGAACGAAAAAAGAAGAGTAATAACAGATTGATAATAACAACAACAATGAACTTTCACAAAATAAACTATTTTGATATTTCAGTGTGATAGAAATGATTTATTTTATTAATGATCAAATGCAATTAACCTTGGGCTACTATGAAAACCTTTCACATAATTTTTGTGCAATAGTACTGCTAATTTAACCAGAGCATCATTAATGTAAATTGTTGTTGTGATTATTCTCGGTGTTATTACGGGCTAGCTGTCTTCGCAAACACTAGTTTGGAATGAAATATTAAATTTTCATGGTGTCGTTTTCTTTCCATTTTAATTTTTTAGATCTTTATGACTTTTACTGTGAATTCTTCCATGCAGAGCCACTGAAAGCTGACAGTGAGCTGTGTGTAGCCGTGTTTAAAGAATGACTGTGCACAAAATGTTGGAGAATGAGAGCCTGTTTTATTTTTTTAACTCCCATTATGTAGAGTTTTCCTTTATCAAAGAAGTCAGATGTGAATACTGTAAATTGTCTTCCAAATACAAATGCTAAAAGAAATGCAAGCATAACATGAGCAACTGAGGCAGCCGAAAAACTATTGTTAATGTGGGTTTGGGTTTTCTATGGGCCTCTGTTTGTCTTATTTCCATTCTAATCAGTGTTAGCAGTTAGTACTTGTAGCTTTATTGTGTTGAAGATGTTTGTTCTTGGGCATTAACAGAAACCCCCATTGGAGGGGAAAAAATAAGCAAAATAACATATTTGTACAGATCAGTTTAAGACTGCTTCCTGAGAAGAAAAAAAATAATACTTTTTTGTATAAAAAAGTCCCAAAGTGACACATGCAAATAATCATTTTCAGTCACAGAAAAAAAAAAAATATCTATGTGGGTTAAAATGGTTCGAACACAGACTATAGAGGAAACTTTCTGAAAAAAACTACATGTACATTGTAATTTATGCATATTTAGGGACCAGAGTTCAAGCATTTGGTTAAAGCAGAATGATAGACATGTGGGTTCAATCAGACTTTTCCCTCTGATCTGTCCATATTTAATCAGGTTTTTGTTTTTTCTTTTTCTTCTAATCGCATCTTTACTAAAAGTTCCTTAACAGAGACAAACCTCCCCAAAGAATCTTTTCACTGTGCTTCCCGTGTAACTGCCGACTCCTGAGTGTGAACTGTTGCTGTTGATGAGAATGTAAACACATGTGAGCTCCTCTACCCTCCCACCACTCTGCTAATCTCTGCTATTTCCCAGGGACCACAGATCCGGGTGGAAACCTGGGATACACCCGCTACATGATGAAATTAAGAAAATAAATGATAACCACATGCTTCCAGAATCTATATGTTTTTAATTTGTTTGTTTTCCTTTAAGAAAAATAATTTTAAAAGGCTGTCAAAACTGCACACAAACAGCATTTATGTGGGCAATATGAATAGTATGTAGTTGAGAATAGATATATCCAGACAAATAATTATGGTTTATCTAAATGTGTGATAAACTCAGACACTGTATTGCACGAGATTTATAAAGAAAAAAATGATAACAGACATATTCACAGACTTTTGTCTTCTGTTCTTTTTTATTGAAAATATATTTTCCACTGTGCAGTGGTGAATTAACATGCATGACTTTACATCTATGCAGGGTGTTTTGCACGGTCATTTTTCAATAAAATCCCAGCCTTTATTTACACTGCACTGATAGCAAAACCTTATTAAAGGCTAACAATTCATTTAACAAAACAATTTGTGTGTTACGTGAAAGTGTGGTTGTTTGTGATCCTTTAAAATGAAATTGAGGGTGTTAGACTGCATACCTGCAGCTCCTGGTTTGTCTGCGTCACGTGTTTTTAGATGTGTGCAACAAAATAACTGAAAAACTTGTTCGAATTTATCACATTTAAAATAAATAGCTGATTATCTTCCAGGAGAAAATTTTTTCATAGGTTATGATTGAAGACAACTGTACTCACCAGTGGAATTATCAATGAATCATCTTATAAACAAAAAGCTAACCTGCTAATGTTAGGCCATCGCTCCATTGAACTGCTTTGATCTGTTAATTTGTGATGCCTAAATCACCAAAAAGATTTTAGGATAGGTCTTAAAAAGCATACATTGAATTAGCTGCTGTTCTTTAACCATTGGGAGGGTCTAGCCTGCAATCAAACCATTGCAATAGTAAACAGTAGGATTTTTGTGGCAGTATAAGGCTGAAAATTTGGAGGCACCACATATGTCCTGCAGAGGGGACATGAGCAGTCAATGGGTTAACTAACATTTTCAGCAGGAGAAATAGGTGGTTTATTTAAAGCTGAAGCTGCTAGTGTCAAGTTAGACATTTTGATATAAAAAATATCAAAGGAATTTCTGTTTGCGGCGATATCTCATATTTTCTGAGGCTGGTTAAGCTGCATAATCTGAAGACAGAATGCATAAAAGAGGCACTGCAGCATTGAGAACATTGAAATATGTTTTTAGATCCACACAATCACAACATTAATTTATTGTGATGTTACCAATAAAACTTAAAGGGCCTGATCTTCAAAGATTCAGAATAAGAGGTGCTTTGCAAATGTGAAGATGGGAAATCCAATTTGGTTCCACCCATTGAAATGAGCATATTGTGTGCTTTTCAGGCAGTTTGAGTGTTCATAAAAGAAAGATGAGGTTCAAAGCTATGGAGATGGAGAAAATTATTATTATTATTTTATTATATGATAATACCTAAACATATTTATAGTTCCCCTATGTAACTTATCTTAAAGTACAGCACTATGACAGATGTAAAGGAGTAGAAAGTAATACAAACATGCTTCATGCACAGTTATATTAAATCGAGGAAAAAAGACATTCCCGTCATGAGCAGAAGCAAAGACAACACTATGCCATTTTGCAAGCTCTTTTGGAATTGTGTTTTTTTAAAACGTGCCAAAATAAGTAATAAGTAATCTTGTCAATTTGGTTTATTTGTATAAAGATTGTCTGCCCTTCCGCTGCATTGATTGGTGTCAGGCAATGTAGACTTTTTTTCTTTATCAATATCAAATAAATATTCTGTTGGTTTTCATGGTCCAAGTAAGTTTGCATGCACACAAAATATGTTATCCTCTGTTATTGTAACAGTGCCTCCATTGTGGCAGCAATGCCAACAGATATTGCGTGTCAGTTTACACCCTACTTTCAGAAGTAGGCCTACTAAAAAACGATACAAAAACTGCAGCCATTGTGCCGTTTTTGATTTGGAAAATCTCTTTGCCCTTAATAAATGTTTAAATTTGCATATCCTCCACCCATGAATTTTTCCGGTGTGGTCGTTACAATATCTTCTGCATATTGATAAAGGCAAAGACACAAAAAAAGGTTTCCACAGGCTCTTGCATTTGCACGTTTTAAGGCACGCAAACCTTTTGAAGATCAGACCCAACTGTTTTATTTGACTGCATGGCGACAATTGCTGCCAAAGTTTCGATAAATGCCCATAAATGAAATGACAACTGCTAAATCACAAACAAGGACATAATTTCATAATAAATAGCCTCTTTTCAGGATTTAGTCATTTCATTTCTAGAATTAGTGATCTTATATGTCTGTGTTTCTGTTCTCAGCAGGAAATACTTGCATATCAATTACTTAACTGATAATGTAGCAGAACATAAATGTCATTGTATTTTCTATGTGCCATTTATTCTAAATATAATCCTGTATGTTTAAGCAGAACAAAGTAGACAGACATAAGGAGATTATTACACCACCTTATTTTTTTTCTTTGTAGGTGATCTGAGCACTTAAATACCAAATAGTCTATCACATATCAAGCAAAAGAAATATCTGCTCTCAGATCAACAGCAGCTGACCTCTGCAAGCCCCATGCTAACAAAAGAAAGAAATGGTAGTGCAGCAATTTTCTTTAAGATATGGTGCTTACAATGAATCTATATTTTTTTAGCAAACAAAGAACTGAATATTTCATACTATATTCCATCTTTTATTTAAAAAATATTATCAATTAATAATCTGTATGAATATACAGTGTACAAGCTTTAAGAGTTTATGATAAATAAGTAATGATCCTGTATTTTGCATACTCTAAAAATAAATCCTGTGCTTATTGATAGTTGGTTGTCAACAGTTATTCCTTCCAATTCGTGCCTTTTGTTTCACTCTACCTGGCTTCCTTGTCTTTACTTTCCATCCTGTAATGATGCTACACTGGGATAATAGTCAATACCATGGATTAAAGATTTCTATGTTGTAATGAAAGTTCAATTTTGCTGAGTTTTCTGCTGTGTTTCTTGAATTTCATTACACTAGGTGCTTACAAATTTTCTCAGTGATGGCCTCCCAGATTGGATGTATTTATACTGAGATTTTAAATTTTTATGAATTAATTATTAATTGGTTTTAATTTAAACTTTATTTAACCAAGATAGACCCATTTATAAGGTCTGAATATCTACTTGCACTCTACAGTTGGGCTTTCATACAGTTTTGTATTTGCAGGAGAGTTTAAACTCAAGGTCTAAACTTTTGTGCGGTATGACTTTGACCTTCCCTGTCATGCCTGCGGCTCTTTAAATGTGCAAATACATGGATAGTGCCAGATGGGTGGTTGTTAGCAGAGAGGCATTGTGAGAGAATCACCTGAAATTACCTTTGTGTACTTCTTTGACACCTACCATGCCATAGCACTTTTCTCTTTTTTTTTCCGAACAGTCACATACTTTATGTCTACTTTTGTATAAATCATGAGAAACTGCTCTTAAGCTCTGCTCTGGTCACTCCTGCTGGTGTATTTTGACCTCGGTGCAGTAATGACTGGCAAGAGACTGAGAGATGGCTCCTCTTAAATTACTGGATGATAACACATTAAGGGAGAGAAGAAGAGGTGTCACATATTTCACAAGCAGCCTGAAATTCCAAGCAGTTCTCCTGGATTTTGAGGATTAGTTATCCTGAGGGTATGATAATGGCCTGCTATTATCATACCCTCTGCAGTCTGACTGCAAGGGGAAATTTAAGAACTGGGGCTGATATGTTTTAGAAATCTGATACACAGAGTGGCAGAAACACTACTTATCTCTTTTTTTTATTTGGTTTGTTGAAATAAACAACAACAACAACAGTTTCTTGCCTTTTAATTTCCATTTAAATAATTTAATGTGTTTTGAATTCACATGGTTTTTTTTCTATTTGCAAAAAAACGACCAAAGCCATTTTTTTCAACCTGCTTTCAGAATGTCAGTATGGCTCATGATTGACTGTCATGCGTCTCCTCTCTTCTAATGGGGTTGGATGCTGGTGGGCTTATTAGGTGTCTCTAAGATGTTCAGTCAGTTGTTTCTATGCGGGCGTAGAATAATGGCATCTTGGCAGAGCGGTGAGGAGACAAGGTCACCCACTGGCCTCTCCTAGAGACCTCTGGGAACGTGACGCATTGAGGTCTGGGTTGGAGCACCAGCAAGAGGTGTAGGCATGTGGTTCAAATTCAAGGTTTTCCAATCCTCTGCATTGTAATGCATTTTAATGAGCTTCAGCCTAATTAAATAAGTTTTTGTTTTTGTTTCTTTTTTTGACTGTGGAACAGGTTCATTTGGCTAAGAGGTTAGGTGCTGCTGATGATTGTGTTGAAAATGAGTGAAAGTCGGATACTAGAGCAAACAGAATAAAATTCCTGCACAAAATAAAGAGGCCTTTATTTTATGTCAATTTTATTTAATAATGACCAAAACAGATACTTTAAATATGTCAACAGTGAACAGAAATGCTATGCTAGAATAAAAAAAATAACATTAACTGTTTCTCAGAAAAAAATATAGTAAACAATGTTGCAAATAAAGTTGTGCATACTGTATGCTAAAAGTACGTAATGATACACAGTTTAAAATCAAAGGCTAATAACAGGAAACTACTTAATAATTTTTATTATGCAAATTCACTAACAAAGCCAGTCTCCTATATGAAGAACTGATTTTCATGAAAAACAACAGTCCTGAACTGACATGTACTTAAAGGCCACTCAGCATAGAAGAAGACATTATTTGAATCATCAGAAAAAGCTCAATTACACGTTGCACAATCAAACAGGGACAAAGATCACCTTTTCGTGAGACTTGTTCTGCGGTGTGATTAGATTAAATCTGATTAGCTTAGCCACAGTGATGGTCATTACATTTGGGAGAGGGGGGGTAACATCTCAGCTGAAATGGCAGCTGTGTTTTGTTTGCTTTAGATACAACTCATGCACTTAACAAAATAGATGAGATCAGGAGAAAATAAAACTTGGTGTCAATATTTGAGTAAAATCGAAAGAAAGCATACCTCCAAATTAAATACTAATTGGCTTCAACAATTTCTGCACTTTGGAACGACCATTATGATCGAGGAGGAGCTGAAAAGGCGTGAATGAGCAACAGTTGATTGTTTGTTCCTTGTTTTTGTAAACTCCATTAATGATTCAGCTCATATAATGTTTCATTGAGGTTCTCCTGCTTCATAAAGTTTTTTTTCTTTGTTTCTGAGGTTAAAAACCCTCATGATAGTGTTTGAGCTCTGTGCATCTGGCTATAAGGCTATTGGAAAGTCAGGATAGGACCAATTAAATAATATAGAAGTTTAAGATCCGGTGTTGTGTGCCCTGCACAAAATAACCTTAGACTGTCAAAATTTTATGTTGCAAAACATGGCTGCTTCTCTTGCTAGAGTAAGTGCTTTAACACAAATGAACATAAATAAGTGTAGTTATCTTATTAAGATTCACTTCTTGAAGGGATGCCAAGAAGTCCTTATTAAGTAAATGTGAAATTCTGCAAGGAGATGTTTGCTGAAGAAGTTGCAGGTTGCAAGGCCAGAGATGTATAAATACTAATGACTATCAAAAATACATTTTCACCCCCTACAACATCAACAGTGGAGCAGAATACAACTACCGGGCTACCGGAAAACAGAACAAAGATTTTTTTTTAAAGACAGACTTCCCTGCAGCAATATCAAATTAACTGCTGCAGTCCAGTGACAAAAAAGGCATTTTCCTTGACCATCTTTCATTAAAGTTGAATTTAAGCACCTTCTTTCTGGTTGCAGAAGCATGCACTTCCACACCAACAGTAGCAAGAGCCTACCAGAGCTTCCTCTGTGATATTTTAGGGGGTTACCGGTAGACTATTTCTTGGACCTTGTTGTTCACTTTCAGAGTAAACTTGCATGGACACCCAGACCTGGGGATGTTGACAGTTTAGAGATGACCAAACTAGATATCTGAGGTTTGAAAAGGGCAAATATCCTTCAAAAAGTAGAGAGGCAAAGGTTTAACAACTAAAGGATTGGAGGTTCTAGAATAGAACTCAGAATCTAGAGGATCTGAGTTCAAAACCCCACTCACACAGACTGACACTCTGGGTCCCTGAGCAAGACCCTTAACCTCATACTGCTCCCTGGGCGCTGCACAATGGCAGCCCACTGCTCTTTCTGCCAGTTTATGTTGCATTTCAAAATTTTAATAGAACAACCTGTCTAAAAATCACAACTGATTTCAGTATTTTTACACATGTAAGTGTTCGGGTTAAAGTCACCTGGTAAAAGTTTAGTTTTTTCATAATTCCAAAAATGTATCATTTAGATGCAAGCTTGAAATGTTAATTATTCATAACACAAGAGAGAAATATTAACAAACTTTAAAATAAATCAAACAGAAAAGCATATTATTAAAAAATAGAAGATTTATTTGCAGTTTTACAGCTTTTGCATGCAGAGACCTATGGTTTATTTGTGATTTGACTTAAATTCTAAAAGAGTTGTTCCATCTACATCACTAGACATTACTGACATAAAGGTTACCATGAAATCTAACTCTAAAGGCCTTCCTGTGTGTTATGTGTTGCTCCTTCGTCTTCTCATATTCTGTTAAGACCTAGTGTTTCTTTTCTTTAAATTATGTACCAAGCTCAAGCTTAAAGTCACAGCTGTTGGAATTTGGTGTTCTCAAAGATTATTAAAGATACTGTTTGCCTAATTGATATTTTAGGGCTAGGTGGTGCTATCCTTGTGTGGAAAGCATTTTTGCCAAGGACTAAAAGGAAGAGCAAGGATTAAGAAAAGGACACCTCCGAAAATGAGGATGGCTCCAGCTGAGCCGACACACGCAACAGACCAGGACAGCTCATGATGAAGAGGTACGGAGTGGTCGCTGGACAGCAAAGCCAGCACAGACTGATGGAAAACCAACACCGACAGGAGAACCAGAAAACCTGCACAAGATGGAAAGAGCAATGAAACGGGAATAGTTAACGTTTCAGCTTGAAATAAATAAAAATTTTCACCTCCAAAAGTCATTATACCACTTCAACCACCACATTTTGAAAGCTACTATTTTAGCATTTTGTAGAGTTTTTATGTGATTAACACAAATAGGTGAATTGTTAAGATGTTTGTGTTCCCAGTTCCACTTAGGGAACCCTAATTGCAATTTCCAAACGACACAGGGAAGTTGTATTTCACCTGACAGAATGAAGCAGAAGGATGCTGGTTTGAGAAAGAAGGGCACTCCTTTGCTGAGTGACATGGCGATACAGATGGAGCCCATCACCATCATGGTCAGGCTCAAAAGTGCCAAGATAGCTGCTGCCAGATTCAAATCTGTAAAGGACAGTAGAGAGACTATTTAGGATGCCAACTGTGAAACAAGCAGAGAGAAATTACATCAAGTGTGTTTTGTAAAATTGTTTTTAATTTAAAGCCAGTTAAAAGTATGATTCTGCAGAGAACTATATATAAATATTCAGAATCAATTCCAATCATCATATTTGAAAGTTCCTATTTTCTTTCATATGGGCCTGTTACTAAGTAACCTTTAACACATTACACTGAGAACTCATATTTCTGCAATTATTACACCAAGGAGTCCAAAATGATCCATCTACATCTTTACCTCAAAACATAAGCATAGCAGCCATATAACTAAATAGTTTCTCTTTTGTTGCCAACAACAGGTTATTTATTAAAAGCAGCTAAAAAACCAATAAAGGGAGGCAGCTTTTTTTTTAAATCTTTTGCATGGGAATCAGCTGGTAATACTAATGCTTTTAACTGGTAATATGTGGGTCAGTAAAGTGTTTTTTTGCTTTCAGATGGTATGTTTTCTGGAATATTATTAGGATGAGTGCGTAGAACTCACACGGTGGAGCATGAATTATGAATTTTTTTTCATATTTAATCATTTTTCTTTGGTGTTTAGAACCATTAGATGAAGGTGTCTGCATAAAAGATTTCTTTCTTTGAGGGGGGATGTCATGTCATTATTATCAGCCAGTATCTAGAAGGATATATCCTTGTAAGATTGACAGAGAGCATCTCTGAGGGAGTTAAGCTAACAGTACCTTAAGGAAGCACAACATCAGAAGTGAAGATGGTAAATTCAATAACAGAATTTGAACTAAATCAATAGTTTCTCTCTTATGAACACCAAGATCACAAGACCTCCAGTAGAGCATTAACCATGATATTCTTTCAGTTCTTTTCTCCATCTATCCTGAGAAGGCTGTTACAAAGCAATGCAGTGTTGTCCACTGTGAGGGTGTTTAAAAAAAGAACCTCTTAAATAAATGCTAAAGTTCAACTGAGTCAAAAATATATTACTAATTGTGATGTTTTGACCTTTAACCATTCTGTTCTCATATTTTGCACAGACAAAAGCTAATTGTTTTTCTTTTTGTTTAAGTTAAAGCTACTCAGTCATTATATCAAAAACATTTAAAAAAAACACTGTTATTGTTAAATCAAAGCAATAAATGTCAGATGTGTCTTGTTCCTTCTTAGCATCAATTCACAAGAATTGAATTACAACAATTCACCTGGACTTTTGTTATTTCTTTTCACTCCTCCGGTGAAAGTTGCCAGGTTGAATTACTTTTTTACTCATTGTGTGCATGTGCACTATCGTACCTCTGGTCTTGTGCTATACGTAACGTATGTATGCAAAAAAACAAATTTAGCAAAAAAAGAAAAAAAAAGCTAATTATTGAATATTAAAGTCATCAAAGAGCCATCATTTAATTGGAAAGCCTTTGTACGAAACCAGATGAGCGTCTGGTACAGAAATTAAAAAGTCGGTATGTGACTAGAGCTCTTTAAGAATAAGTAACATACTGCATCCTTAATTCTAGCCACCGGCCTTATAAAGCCTTGAGTTTTACAGGTAAATATGTGCATGGGGGAGGGGTTGAAAAAATGTGCAGACTCTTTAATTCTAGTTGTATCAAACAACAGTAGGGCTATATCTCTCTAAAATTAAGGACTTTCTTCATGATTAAATTAAAAGCTGCAGTCTTCCTTTTCTAGTCGGTACTGTTTCACTGTGGAAAATGACTCTTGTTTTCCAGCTTTAGGTAGAGTCTTCATAGGATATTTTGCCTATTCATGGATTCCCAACCAAAAGGCCTTAATCTCTAGGACATAGAGTCTTGCTCCTCCATGAACAGTGAGACAGATGGGCATCCCTATACTGTTTAGACTTGCATATAATAGTTTGAACACAACAAGGCAATCCATTTTCTCCAAGGACGAACCAGACTTATAGAGGTCCACATTTCTCTCCCTCATACATTGGCGGATTTTGATTCTCCCATGGTGTCAGGTGGGTCCTAATCTGATGAAAATGCTGAAAATCAGGATCAGAATGGGGGAGCGGTGTCCTAGTGGGTAGCCCCACTACCACGGACTGCCACTCTGGGTCCCTGGGCAAGACATGTGAATTTCGTTGCTTTGTTCTTATGACAGTGTAATGACAATAAAGATGAACTCTGCTTCATCTTCTAGAATTTACGATAGCTGCGGCATCATTACCTGAGCTTTCCACAAAAAAAAAATTTATGCACAATACCTTTTTATGTATGTAAACCTATTTAAAGAAAATGATTAGGATTATCACAAAATCATCACTTATTATTTATGAACAATTTTAGCAAAATCCAAAAGACTTAAAGCAGGAATTATTTAATATGATTTCATATCATATAAAAAAAAATATTTCATCTTATCCTGTTAATGTTAATATCTAGTTTCAGGAGTAAACAAGGTTTTCCTGCTCCTTTGAAACAAACAATTTAACCATCAATAAAGGTGACCAATGCTCAGTGTGGCACAACAATGAAGTGTCGGCCAACTAATCTGAAAACCTCACTATAATAAGTCCTTCCCTGGGCAGCACAGCAAACACATTAATCAGTCTGATAGTGTGTAGCTTACTTTAGAAAATGGGCGGCTGTGGAAATTAATGGGCTAAGACAAACACAGCGGGTACGGTCCTGTGAGCACCACATCGGGCAACTTTATTGGACGGTAGGTGTAAGTTGTTTGTGTGCAAGAAAAGAAACAGGTAAGACAACACATCTCACTCCTGTTAGTCGTCTTCTTGAATATGACCGCGTTCTCTCCAGAGGTGAAGAACTTGAAGTAGGTGCAGTTGGATTCTGTGGATACAAAGAGAAGATAAGACAAAGACACACACAGAGCTTTGGATGGCTGCTGGTCTCCTCTGATGTGCCTACCATACGCATCCATGCACTCTGTCCTTCCAGGCATCATTGCTATTTATAACCAAGAGTCGAGCTTGAAAACGCAGAGACACACACACACATCCCTATGCAAACGCACGCACATTCATAGCAGTGCACATATGGTGCAGCCAGAGATGGTGAGAGACAGCAAAACACTGCTGTCTCTCACTGAGAATAAATGGGAGAGGGAGGAAGATGGAGAGAATGGTGGAGATTATGATGGGAAGATGTGGCTGCGGAGGGAAGGAAAGAAAAGAAAGAAGAAGGGTTCAAAGGATAGAATGCAAACCAATATGGCGGAGTATGTTTTAAACAGATGGAGGGGTGGTGAGTGAAGGCAAGGAGAGAGGAGAGCCTCAGATGGAGAAGGAGGTGAAGGAAGGAGGAGAAGTCAGGAGGGAGAGGAAACACAGAGGGGTTGCTTAATACTGCATTAGACACACATTCTCCCTCTCTATTTGTCAGTCTCTTCCTGCACCTACCGGCCCCCCCAACACACACACACAACCTATATTTAGACAAAAACTGTGAAGTAGTCACATTCCACTTGGCTTCACAAGCACATAGTGACAATTTCAAAACCACAGAAAAAAAACATATCATGTGGTCAGAGATGACTGTACAAGCAATTCTCCTGCACACAAACACAAATTCAGCTCACGTGCTAGTTCTGAAACTGATCCGGCATTTATCAGGCCACGGATTCTGTAACGCATTACGCTTCACACAGTCAGCTTGTTTTTTTTCTCCTCCTGCAACCCCCTGCTGAGACTGTAATTATTGAGCCGTCACTTTTCTGGTCCAGCGGGCAACAAAGATGGATCGCCGGTCTTAAGATGATAGACGCAACATCAGCAGCAGGCCGGGACGGAAGCCAGAGGCGTGTAAACACTAATACGAGAGGGAAAAGGCAGGGATGGTGAAAACAGTTGTTCTTCTACAAAATGTGATGAGCTCGCAGCCATCTGTGACAGGCGGAATGGGTAAACTGTGGAAGGACGTGAGAATGAGATTTTCAGAAGCATCCTGGCTTCTCATGTCCCCCGACAAACCATCTTGGAGTCAGATCTACTGGCAAGAAACAGCCAGTGATCCATAGCATATTTTTGTTTAAAAGGGCTAGGCAAAACAGTGTTGTCCTATCTCAAAAAGTTATTGCTCTATATTTTTTTAGATAACTTGCAATGAGATTTTTTATAGAACTGTCAAGGAATCTCAAATTGTTGTCGGTCCACACTTTAACTAGGTGACTTTAACAGCTCCTGAGTGATTCAGAGGTGGGCTTGAGCTTTAGGTCATTCATTGACAGTTGGACACTTAGTTTTTTTCTCATTATGTTAAAGCAAACAAAAGTGATTGACTGATATATGATGCATATGTCAGGCAATGTTAGGTTAAAAGCCGGATATCACTGGACACAGACTTTCCAAAAAATTCAACCTTTTGTCTCCACAGTTCACAAAATATTTTCCAAAAAGTCTTGTTTTGGTAAATATAAGCCAAGGCTTTGCTTTTCTTTCTCTGTGGTTCTTTGGACCAAATAATGCCTTTGGTGCCACCCCATTTAATGACCAGAATCACACCACTTATGAAAGATGAACAATGTCCGAGATCCCAAGGAAAACAAACAGATTTTTGCCACTTTGATAGAAAAGAGAAGTTGCTCCCCCGTGCAGATTAGCTGCTAAAAGAGCAACTTTATCTCAGTCATTCGATGCCTCACAACGAATTTACTGTACCGTTTACATTACAGGAACAGGTCAAGGTAGGTGCTTCTCAGAGATGGCAAAAGTACCGGTACTCACTTTTCGTACTTGAGTAAAAGTACAGATACTTGCGTTAAAAAATACTCTGGTAAAAGTGGAAGTACTGATTAAACTTCTTTACTCAAGTAAAAGTAACAAAGTACAGGCTTGTAAATTTACTTAAAGTATAAAAGTAAAAGTAGAACCACTTTTTTCATGCCGTTGCCTACATTTTAAATGGATGAATGAATACCGCCAAATCTGTCGATTCATCTTGTAGTGGTGTGTCCAATGCAACGTAGATTCCCATCGAATTAGATTGAATTTGGTATTGATGACGTGAAAAATAATAACGGTAACTCCATTGAAATGATTCAAAACTAAAGTAATGAGCCAATTTTTTAAAATGTAAGGAGTAGAAAGTACAGATATTTGTGTACAAATGTAAGGAGTAGAAGTAAAAAGTCACCATAAAAATAAGTAGTAAAGTAAAGTAAAAATATCAGAAAAATCTACTTGAGTACAGTAACGAAGTATTTGTACTTCGTTACTTCCCATCTCTGGTGCTTCTTGAAGGGGGATGGTAAACAATTTCCAATGCAGAACTGTGATGGCTCTTCTTATTTATGGGACAGGGAGGGGCTGCACTATTTATGGAATTATATGGAATACCACGTTGTGAATAATTCTATGAAGGAATAGCATAATAAATACTTAAAAGTTTAAAAATTTTGATTTTGCATGATATAGCCCTTTAAACCAACTGAGGTAGATGTGGTCAGCAGTGTTTTAGGGTTTTTTTGTGACCTCTCGAATGAGTTACCAATTTGTTCTTGTAATAATTTTAGTTGTTACAAATAAATATATTTTAGTGCATGAATGAACAATAGCTCTTATTACCGTTTGCTGAAGTCTCAAACCTGATTTTGGCAAGTAAAATCTAACCCCTGATTAGTCAGATTTTCATGACTGAATACTATTTATTATTTGAATTGCTTTATTCTTAATATATGACCTAATCTATACTGAAATACAAATTTTACAATTACTTATGTTGTATTTATTTGATATCAAAAGAAATAAATGACTGATAAATCTGTAAGGGAGAATATATTTTTTCACAGCCCCTTCAACAAGTTCTGATTCTGCTCCTGAGTTTACCATCATATGCATCCTACTTTTTTCTTTGAAATATTACTTACCTTGATCCTTTTTTATTGTTTGTGTTTAGTAAGAGAGGGAATTTTTAAGTGGTTTTGTTTTTCTTTTATGTGATATTCTTCTAGGAGGCTCTGGGGAGGATTGGTAAGAATTTAGGTCAAGTAGGTCTTAGACTATACCGAGCTGCTGCTTTACTGCAGTAGATTCAAAACAGTAGATGTGGACCTACACTTGTTGTAACCATGGAACTTTAGAAGCTTTAACAGGCAGCCAGGATCCGATAAATGAGCTCAGCCACAACATTGACACTTCCAGTTATTCCTACTTAATTTTTATATTAGTGTATGACACTTTATACTACAACGTATGCTGCAACCACAGGGCACTGTAGGACAGTTGGTCTCTATGAAGTAGCTGCATCAGTTCTGTGGTTCTGGCAGCAGATGATGCATGCCTATTTATGTCTAATCATTGCGCTCGGTGCCGGGATTCTATTTAGATTAAAAAATGACTGTAAACACGATCATGATGGCAGCTTGGTATATATTACCTTGTTTTATCATGATCCACTGGTTAGTGGTCTTTTTTATAGTCATATAGTGTAACATGACTATGCCCCTTCCAGAAATGTTAAAAAACTATGACCTGGATGATGGAGAATCTTCACCAGACTATGCCCCTTTAATTTCCTATTCCATCCTATGGTACCATCACTTGTAAACAAGAAATTTAACTAACTGAACTGACTCCCTGACACTATGCAGATCTCTGACACATAAGGCAAAATAGAGACACTATGCTTGGATTAAGAACCACTAGATTAATAGAAGCTGGTACTCATCATTAATGCTTCACACGTGATGGTAAACTACCTCAAGAGCATGCCGAAGATCAATGCTTTTTTCAGCCTTTTAAACATCTACAAAATAGGTGTGGACTGTTTGGGCTAAATCTAAATTGTGGTCGGCATTTGTGCAAGGTAAATATCAAGTCCATTGCTCCATTGCTAAAACAACACTGGTCCTCCTGAATCCTCTGGGGTTAAAGAATCGGTTAAAGTCTCCGTATCATACACTCTAGAGTAAACTTTCCCTGACAGGCTGATAAGTATAAGCCAACTTCATTACTATATTTTGATCTCTGTGAAGAATTTTTTTTTTTTTCATCTGGAGAAATTCCCTTAGAGTGTCATTGAATCCAGGAGGTCTCTCAGTAAATGCCTCTCTCCATCTCTAAACTAACCTATTGGACAGAAATAGGTCACTGTGCAAATAATCTCTGGAGAACTCAGCCACGGTCAAGTTGTATAAAGTACTATTTAAGAGACCCGTCACTACAGTAAACATGGATGTCTGTCAAAACAAGAAACCTGTGGTCTTTATCACCTAGCGTATAATAGGACTTGACAATTCTATACAGTGACTACACACACACATACATGAATATATATATAATTATATATATATACATATAAAGAAAAAGAGAGAGAAAGAGTCACAGACTTGCAGCATACTGGTATATATCTACTTTTGATTGATTGATAGATTTATTGATCTCACAGTGGAGAAATTTTATCATTACATCAGCTCAAATAGTCAAAGGAGAAGAAGAATGTGCCAAAGGAAGAAAAAGATGCATGGGATATATACAGTATATACAATGCATCCACATATGACAGCTTTTCTTCTTTTATAGCACGATTATTATACAGAGCTATTGCACAGGGTTTTTACATGCGTATTTATATAGATGGATATTTATATATATAGTTATTGCACTGGATGTCTTGCATTTTACATAATGGACAAATACAAAGTGGTACAACTCTTATAAATTGGTATCAGGTATGAATCTGAAAAAACTGCTTTACATTCATACCTGAATCTCCATTATTAAATTCTTTCTAGGATTATGTCTCTGTCAGTTTTGGAAACCAACACACTTTTGAATATCTAAGGTCAAAGCTCAAGTTTATTTAAATAGGGTGGTCAGTAGTTTTCAAAACTTAATCAGCCTCGGTTGATTTTAATTTCTCTATGATCTTAACTAGGACTCTTTAGTTTTTCGGTCCAGGGTAGGTTTCCTCCTATAAGGTGAACCACCACTAGTTCTCTATTTTAAATGCCTCTAAAATTTCCTCTTACAGGATTTCCTTGTATTTAGCTCTGTCCACCTTGTCATCAGAACCCCTCTATCACTGCTGATTATGAGAATCCCATAGTATAATTTTGCCACCACCATGTGCCATTGTGGGGGTCCAGGATGAGCCTCATATACATGGATACATATTCTTTTTGTATGGATAACGATGTCAACCTGATCTGTGGATCTTTGCAGCACAACATAGCCCGCTTGGATGCTTTTATCATTGATGGTTTCCAGTCAGTTCAAAGGGATGGTTATATCTAGATATTTTTTGCACTACAAACAATGCCAAATTATTCCTGTTGTTGAGTGATGAATTGAACAGTGTTCAATGAGATCGTCAAAGCTTTAAACATCACTTTAAAACCAAACCTTATTTAATTTCTTAATAGCTCAATAGCAATAAACCTTGGGGGCTTTAATCTGAGATTATACTTTGATAGTGAGATTACGTTTCATAAAGACACATTAAGAGACCTCCTATATTGCTTATGTGTATCAGTGCCACTGAAGATAAGAAAAGAAAAAGCCCCAAATTTTAATAATTACAGCCCAAAATCTGTTAGTGTTACCAACAGATCCAAAAATAAATGTTGTATACCGTAACTGTTGTTATATTTTACTGTTTTGAGTTTTTATGTCATTAATGATTCCAGTTGTGTATATTTTGCATATGATGACCTAGATTCATCTTGTTCGCTGTTTTACATACATGCCTTTGTATAATGGAGGGAGGCAGAACAATGATCTACAGAAAAAAGAGTAAAATGTAACAAAATATATCGGTTAATCATTTTCTGGATTCTATTTTATTTTAAGAAAATTTTGTTAAGATAAAATTGTCTTACATTGCTTAAGATATTATCTATTTATAAAGACTTTTATTAGAAAATTAAAATATACCTATACTCTAATGGTATATGTATGGTTAAAAGTGTCTGTAACTTACCATTTCCTTGATAAATCATCTTTTAATTCCCGTTTTCAGACTCGGATACATCTAATTTCTGCATCCTTAAAGCATGCATGACACCAAAAAAATCCACTCTGTGTTAGACCCTGCTTCATCACAATGAAGACAGAAGTACACAAAATAGATCTCACCTCCAGGTAGTTCTGCAGGACCGCAGCTCGTCCTCTCAGGATCTATGTCGGACACCCACAGGGTGCGGATGCAGCCTTTCCAGAGGCCGTAGTGGGCCATCTGGCAGGTCTGGTTGCCGCTATAATTTTTCGGCTGGGCCAGCTCCACCCAGAACTCTGTGCCCATGCCCAACACCGTCAGGGTCACCCCGATGATCGCCACGAAGAACACCAGCTTGATCTTACCCTCTTGGCTGTCACTCATCTTGTTTATCCTCCTTTGTCCTCTATGAACCTTCATTCCAGCCATACCCCCGCCCTGAGTGCCCCCTGCCACCCCCATACGACCCTCTTCTTCTTGCTGTACAAAGAAGTTGGACCACATATTGGCAAAGGCGAGGAGCAGCAAAGATCAGAGAGGAAGAGGAGAAGAACAAATAAGGGATTCGCTATCAAGTTGGTTCGATACTGATGGTTGTGACACTGTGAGACACAGCTGGGCTCTTCTGGATGAGTGAATTGAGCAAAAACTGTGAGAAATTTAGTTAGAAAAAAAAGAAAAAGTGGGCTGGATGCTGAAATTAGACACAAAGAGCTATGAATAGATCTTGAGTGATGTTGGGGGCGGATGCAGTAAGGTAACAATATGATGGGATGAGACGTAGGAGAGGACCAGGAGAGCCAGTCTGGGATTTTTTTATCCAATCCTCTGAAACACAGAGATAAAACAGAGTTGAAAGTTCAGCCAGCATATGCTTCATCAAAGCTAAATCCTTTTATCACCAACATATTATTTGATTTCCACCAGCTTTATCAGCCGCTACAATACTCCCTCCCTAAAAGCCATGATATCCTCTTAGCTACCACACAGATAAACCACATGGCATTCATCTCAGAGCCAGATTCAGCTTTAGGTGAAGAAACAATTGATGTGGCTGAGTTAGCAAGGTTGGTTTGGGTTATGTCAAGGTGAGAGAGATCTTTTATTTCCTTTGCAAAGTTTCTCCCCAAGCACTATCAGCAGTTTAGACATAGATTTACTCTGATCTGAGGGGAAAAAGGGGGTTGCTACAAATACCCCACAGTCTCCATTGTTTTTTCTGGCAAATACTCAACATTTCTCTGCAGGTAACATCCAGAGCTCATTTACAGTTCCTTGACATCATATTAAAAGAGTTCTGTCTCATTTTATCACTGGATTTTAATAGGTTCATGTAATTTCACTAAATAGAAAACAGCTATAAAGAGGAAGGAAAATAATTTGTGGTTTTTCATAATAAAAAATCTGAATACTGTTGTATGCATTTATATTTATTTAGAGATTTAGTTTCTGTGAAACACTTCTGAGAGAATTCCTGCTCCTTTCTTGGAGTATTTCTGCACCTGCAACATGCTTTAAAAAGTAAATTAAGCTTAGTTAAATATTATGTGTGAAAATCAACTTTTATGTTTCATCCATATACAGGTCTCTTGCAGATTCTCTGTTTTTTTTGTTTTTTTTCTCCAGTTAGCCCATATCCCTCTCCACTTTAACTTTGACCAACTTTAGTGTTTCTCCTAAAGATAAGCCTTTCTACTGCGTAATGTTGTTAGCGCCACTGGATGGTGCATTAAGGATAAAGAGAAGGGTTAGTTTTCCCGTACACACTTCTTTTATTAAACCTCTAAAGCCTTCACAGAACAAACAGATTTAAACTGAGATTAAAATAACCACAGGTGAAGACTAAATTTAGTAATAAGGGGACTTCTCAAAGCAACATGGATTTAGGAGTATTAGATTAAAGGGGATTAACTGTATATTAATTATATATAATTGTGGGGGCTGAATAACAGTGCATGTCACACTATTTAGATTTAGAAGCATGTTTCATTTTCCTAACATTTGAAAAGTTCAGGATTATGAATATTCTTTCATTTTACAATATTAAGCTGTTCTTTAGTATGAGTGAACAGGGTTAGCAATTCAAACAACAGGGCAGCAAGGTGTCCCTGCCATGCACCAGGGTGCATTAGAGGTGATAATTTAAGCCTGAGCCCTCTGACAGAAAGGGGGCTGCAGTAATTAACAACACTGCCTCGTCCAACAGGTCTCAGAGTTGAGGCAGGGGGCCAGCACCATCAGGCCTCTTTCGCAGTTGTTGGATCACTTAATTCGGAGCACTGCCATGACACCATCAGCGGTTTTAAATAGTCAACACAACATGTGAACCGTCTCACTGAAAGTCCTCCATGTACAGTATTTAGGGGTATCATACCAGTATGGTCTGTCGCATGCAAAATGTATATGCTGAGGGTCAACATTCAGCCTTTTCACATGCTGGTTCCCATTTGCTTCTTTTTTACTACTAAATATTCAAACTGATGTGATGATACAAAACAGTGAGTTAAAAGAATAATCAGTTGATGAAGATCTAAAGTAGTGTTGCAGCGACGACATTTTTTAGCCCCGATAACGATACCCGATACCTGGCTGTGCAGTATTGGCCGACACCAATACCATATCAATACCATCTGTTTGAAATTGATGTGTGTCTGTATATATGAAGAACTGCATACTACTTGCATGTAGAATAATTGCCACCATGGCTTTGTCAAGCTGCTGCCCACCTTTGTGAAGCAGGAAAAAGACTAATACAAAGTGAATCCAGTAGAACTTTTTATTGCCTACCTGGAATGGGTGACAATAGTTGAATAAACCTTTGGCTCTCAAAATGGTATTGGTGCCCTATTTGTCATTACTAGCCATTCCAATACAATCCTTTTTGTGCAGTATCGGGTCCCCGCCCGATACTGGTATCGGTATTGGTGCAAAACTAATCTAATGCAATAAAAGATTTTTGTAATTTTAAGTTTATTTTGTGTCATATATGAGTGGTTCACTCCTGGTACTCTGGACTCCTGGGGCCTGTTTCAATAAGGAAGTTCAACCAACTCTGAGTTAAAACTTGAACTGAGTCAACTTGAGTTGACTTATCCTGAGATTGGAAACTCTGAGTTTTGGGTTTCAGAACAGCTGAAATGAGTTAGTTCAATCAACTCTAAATTGACTGACTCTGAGTAAAGCGCGTGCACCACAACTATAAAAAGCCATTATCAATGGAGCACAGATATTACGAGTCACCATGGCAACAGCGTCAGACAAAAAAAGGTGTGCATATTTCTCACCAGCAGAACTGGATGTGCTTATGCAAGCATATGCAGAATTTGAACATGTATTTAAAAAAAAAAGCAACACGGCTGCAGCGGCAAAGGAGAGAGAGTTAGCTTGGGTGAAAATAGCTGCTAGAGTCAATGCGTAAGTTTACATTTTAATTACTTTTATACAGTGTTGGGTGTAATGAATTAAGTTACATAAGTCATATAAATACTGTAATTAAATTAAAGACTATAAAACAATAGTGGATTTAATATCAAATTTTAAAAGGTATATTTTGATTTGAACTTTCTCCCTCTAGTTACACACTTTGGTCAATTTAAGATTAATTCATGCAATTGAATATTGTTTATTTGAAAGCATTAGAAGTGCAGTTTCTTGTCTCTCCTTGTATTGTTCAAGTGGTTGAGGTTGATTTGGGATTTAGAAAGTAATTAATAAGTAAGTAAAACAAATTAGTAAGTAGACCAATACTTTCTAGAGACAGTAATTATTACATTAATCTAATTAGACTTGTTGAAGATAAAATTTGTAGTTAGTAATTAAGAACTATTTTAGAGTAACTTACCCAACTGTTATAATATCAGAGGTGAAACTGGAAGAACAGTATTTTATTAAACCTAATTTAGTTTTCATGGATAGGTGCAATCCTGCAGGCATCAAAAGAACATGGCAGCAGCTGAAAATGAAATATAAAAACATACTTCAAGCAGGTAAGCCTTGAGCACATCATGGGAGTAGAGTAGCTACCTGGCTTTACAAACAGGATCATCCATAAAAGGACATGCCATTTCATTCCCTTTGATGCGCTCTACGTGACTGAAATGTGTGCAATGAATACTGTATGTCCCAAAGAATCAATGAGGTGTTTAAACACCACTTCCTCTTTAAAACAGGGGAGGAGACCAAAATAAACTCTGGATTTTCTGAAGAAAACCTGCTCCCGACCAGGTTAGGTTCACAGAGTAAATTCCCATGGTAACTGACTCTGAGTATAAGTTACCTCTCTTTCAGAAACGGGCTTGACTTACTCTACTTTCTCAGGTTTAACTTACCTCCCTTTCTGAAACAGAAAACCCAGAGTTTCCCTCATTTCAGGGTTAACAAACTCAGAGTTTTCACTTAACCTCCTTTCTGAAACAGGCCCCTGGAGTCCAAAAACAAAACTGGGCCGTGGGAGGCGTTCTGCAGTTGGTGTCTCTTAATTAGCCTTAGATAAGAGTCTGTGTGCATGATTGTTTGTTGCACATTTCTATGTGATGACCTGAGGTAAACAGGCAACCTGTTTAAGGCTTATTTCACCTCAGAGATTACCGGGGATTGGTTCAAACCCCCTTGCCCCTGAAAAAAGAAGCAGGTAGAGACGATAGTCACATGGATCAACGGATGGATGGTGAGTTTCTTGGCTTTCATCCTTCTGTTTGTTCATTATTCAAAATGAGCAAATAAACAAACATCTGAGGCCTTTATAGAAAGGCCTTAAACTGTTGGAAGGGATTTAACTCATGGGTGTCATAGTTAAATGGTTTATATACAAACTATTGTCACAGTTTTTTTCTGAGAGAAAAAAATAATCACGCATTGTTTTCTTTCTGCTACACAATTATGTGCTACTTAACTTTAACATAAATCAAAGCAAAATGCAAACAATGATTTTACAAAGCACTGTACAGTGCTGATCTCACTTACTGGCAATCTCAATGTGTTTTTTTTTTTTTTAATCTAAATTCATTTATCAAAAAAAAAATATTTCATTGCCACCAACTTCTAAAAGCAGGACTAGTGGTCATAACATCAGCTTACACAACATTAAGAGATTATATAACAACAAAATGATTTTCTAAATGGCATAAACGTTGAGATCAATATGTTGCCAATGCCAGGCACTAACCAGCATATGTTTCAGGTCAATATATTTAGCAAATAGAAAACAAAAACAAAGCATTTTAAATAAAGGGATTCATGTTTGCAAGGAAAGAATAGCCCAGGGAAGAAGATTTAAAGAAAAAATGTGTTTAAAAAAAGTCGTACTTTCTAACAGTTGAAGTTAGGAATATGGTCAAAAATTATAACACTAGAATAATACATTTATTTTGAGGTTGGCTGTCCTCTTTTTCCTTTTTCTTTCTTGTTGGGTATAAAAAAAAGGGGGCTGAAACTGTTTGACTGTAATTTTTTATTGTTATTTCCTCTTTTGGCTCCGATAAAAATAATTATATATATATATATATAAAAAAGACTACAATAATACAATAAGAATATCAAGACAAATGGATCTTAATGGAACTATTACCTAAATAAACTGAAAAATTACAAGTCGTATACAGCTTTAAAAAAAAAGGCTCAGGTTAGAGTCACAGGTTAGAAAAGGACTACTAGAGGTAAACACCAGCCCCTACAACCCTGATGGATGGATGGATGGATGGATGGATGGATGGATGGATGGATGGATGGATGGATGGATGGATGGATGGATGGATGGATGGATGGATGGATGGATGGATGGATGGATGGATGGATGGATGGATGGATGGATGGATGGATGGATGGATGGATGGATTTGTTGTTGTTTTTTTCAACTTTGAATGATTGCAGTTTTAATTTCCTCCAATTGGTCTAGTAAAAGAATTAACTCTGTCATCTAGTTTTAAAAAATGAACCAAATATATATATTTTTTCCCATAAATAAGAGAAAATGTACATTTGAACTTTTATACTTTTCTGTTTCGTCTGAATGAAACAAGAAAATCATTAAAATTAATTAAATTTGACAAAACAGAATTAGCTGTATTCGTACACTGGCATCAAACTGTTCCATACAGATTTTTTTCTGTTTTTATTTTATTTTTTCTGTTTATCAGTATATATTAATATAATACTTCAATGTCTTTCCATATCTCATATAAGATGGACACATGGCAAAGAGGAAAAATCCAAGGTCAATTATAAATTCAAAGTCTTTATCTTGATTTAAGGAGTCAGTTTCAAAAAACTTTATATACAAAAAAAAAGAAATAGTGTGTTTTTTTCTTCCTCACAAACATATCCTGTTTTAAGATGGGTAGGATTACATAAATAAACTATGTTTGCTAATTAACACTACGTTCTTTCTCTGTTTGGCTACTCTGGACAAAAACTTTATCGGGTTTATAAGGTGCCTCGAAGCACACCCCTTTCCAGCCCCTCCCAACAATACTTTTGTCTTTTATTTTTCTTTGTTCTTGTCTTCTTTGTGAACACTCAGAAAGTTGATCATTCCCATAGTATTTAAACCTGCATGTAATTGTGTGAACAGATTAATGTCTTTTCTCCAGGCATATGGAAACTGTAGTTAAGGAGGAACCAGACTTTTAGAGGTCCAATTTTTCTCACTCTGATACCTTAACTGATTTTGTTCAACATTTCCATGATGGCAGATGAGGAAGCAGCATGTCAGATGTGTTACAATGAAATTCTTCAAGGTGAACCTCTTTTAACTCAAACCCAGATAAAGCAGAGTATACAGCCTTTACGTCACAGCAGGGCTTTCCCAAAATGTGCAAAAGGCATGGTAATCTGAGTTTATATAAACATCTTAAAATAAGTAAGGGTACCCAAAACAGAAAGAGTTTGGACGGATTTAAAGTTCATCAGTCTGTATAAATTGATCAGACACATGCAAACATCTGCTTTCTGGGTTCATGCAGAAGTATTATTTGAACTAATTTTTCAGTTTATAAAATATTATTTCATTCATTCAGGACATTTTTTTTCTTACATCTGATATTTTTTCTGCGCAGTTTTTACTGAGGTTTGAGTTCTGATTTTATTTACATTTAAAATAGTTTTGCACACAGAAACACATTTTTAACTACACATGTGGAGTAGGAGCCAAGATAAGTAGCAACAAACATCTGAAGCAATTAGGACACATTTCAACACTGACAGTAAAAGAGAATATATAAAGCTAATGATAGCTGAGTTAGTGCTGCTGGATTACAAATTTTGATCATATTACAATCTTATTAACCACCGATATTCAGATGCCATCTTCTCTAATGCAAAGAAATAATGGCTTTATAACAGTCAATTCTCCCAAGCAATGCTTAAACTTGTTCTGGTACATTTACTTCTATAGAAATTGTGCAGAGAAATAGCTTGTGCAAACAAGGGTTGAAAATCAGGAATCCTCTCTCCACCGATTTGTGTGATGCGTGGGCACCACAGAGTGACACCGGACTTAAGCATGTGAATGAAAAGAAGAATAAATCTGACCTGTTTGGTGCGTGTTTGTTGTTCAGTTCAGGAAGAAGGGACGCCTGAAACCTAATAGAAGGGCTGAGTGGTGATGCGAGAGGTAGTGAAAGAGGGGAAGGGGGTGGAAGGGAAGGGAAGGGAGGGAGGGAGGTACAGAGGAGGTATGGAAAGTGGGTGTACGCTGGATTTGGAGCTGCAGCCTGGTTGGTTAGCAGTATTGATGTGTTGCTGCTGTTTTGGCCTACCGACTCTGCTTGCAGCTCATGTTCAGTCTGAAAGGCACCCTGTTCATACTCCATACATGTTTGAAATTTCAAATCTGTTAGGAGAGGTGCTGCAGGGTGGTCTGCTGTCATGTTGAAGGTCCTGCAAGCGTGTCTGCAACCGCCCTGCTGTCTGTGTGTGTCTGTGTGTATGTGTCTATTTTTGACAGCCACCTGTTAATGACATTAAGTCAGAGGATGGGAGGAGCCTCTTTTTATGTGAGACGGGCAGCTACACAGCACACTGACGTGGAGACAAGGCAAGGATTATGGGAAAAAGCAATTGGAAGAAGAAAAGGAAAGGGGGGGGAGATTTGAAGAAAAAATTCAAGCTGATGTAACAATGGCTAAACTAAATAGTGACCAAATCCTGTGAGTTTAAAAGCCTACTGGAGTGGTTTTCGCAGGGCCCAGTCCTGCCTGGCAGTTCCACAGTTTAGGTTACATACGTGGCACACATAGAGAGAGAGGAAGGCCAACCCCTGCAGCCAGCGAGCTCTGAGGGATGGGGGTTGGGACTGAGAAAGGATGCAAACTGAAAGTGAGTCGGGGAGAGGAACAGAACAGGACACAATCCGAGGAAAAGGACAAACCCAGCTGTAGGCTGTGACAGCGAAAAAAAACCACCTGTCTCATCCTAAACTATCAAACTCTAAGTAGTGACACACACCTCCACAATTTGACCTTTCATCTCCAGGAACTTGTTGTTCTGCTACTCACCTCAGCTGGCTCACTGGATTTTTAAGGTCCGAAGAACTGACCCTTGAGTTTGTCTGATTATCCTCAAATAAAAAGTGTACCTCTGATAATGCGGACTGTCATCATCCTGCTTGGATTATATCCCTTGACAAATTTTCTATGACAAAAACATAAGTTGTTTTGAGACAGGACTCTTAATTTACACAGGTTCTGTCTCTCAGACACCATCACACATTTGGGTATCCACAGATAGGCCACATATGTTTGACAATTTTCCCTAAATATAAAATAGAAAATATATATTTTTTTACTCCTCAACGCCTGAATTTGCATTCATGTATATAGATATAAATAACTAATAACTTATATATATATATATATATATTATATATATATATATATTATATATATAATATAATATATATATAAGTTATTTGCCTTCAAGTAGTTGCCAAATTAAATCTTTTTAAAACTTTCTATTTGTTAAAAAAATATCTAAATGTAGGTATATTACAAATTTGTGATGATGACATGATAACATAGACCTTAAAAGCATAGTATGTTGCCCCCAGTGCCAGAGGTTACACATTCGGTGAGGACCTAGGAACCTTTGGCAAGCTCTTGTTTCTGCTACAACTTCCTGTTTTGATAGAGATTTTGTCCTTCTGATGCTATTAGCTTTTAGATTATCCAGCAGTTTCCAAAACCCCCCTTTCTTTTTCCCTGAAATACAATAAAGAAAAGTCAGATTAAAGGTATAATGGAGGATCTTTGCAAATTTTTGAAAAGACCCGCCCTCTCCACCTTAAAAAAAAATTGCACATGTGCAACTCTGTGCCCACTCCAGAGAGGTAACACCTATTAAACGCATGCGAGAGCCTGCACAAACCCATTTCTCCTCGTGCATGCTCTGTTTAAAGGTTGCTTTTTGCATCACTCATACAAGCTTACTTTCTAAAAGAAGATTTGCCATTTTTCCACTATGTCAGACTCACCACAGGTAAGTGAAAACCATAAACATATCACGAGAATGATTGACAATTTGGAGTAACACTTATTTTGATGATCCACCCGGAAAAAGAACATCCTCCACTATACCTTTATACCTTTATACTTTGTAACATCTGAGAGGCAAACAGAGCTAATAAAATTAATATTTTATCCAAATGTAAGCAGGGACAGAATTGTCATAGAAACCTATAAATTCTCAATTAATCCTTGTGCTAAGAAGAATTATGTGTATTTTGTAGACCTGGTTTATATACGTACACACTTTTTTGTTAAATATAGATCCTAATTTGGTAGTAGAAATTAATTGAATTTGATAGATGATGTCACAGATGTGATTTTTCAATCCAAAGTCTTAGACAAGCCCTTCTAATACAGACTGATTTTCTATTTTATAAATCTTCCTGGAGGAGCACAACAATTCATGGTTTAAATGATTAAATTTCATAGAAAACTTTGAAAGCTGAAGGTTTTTTTTTTTATCACCAATGGCACCTGGTTGAGTTACAAACATTAAAGTATTTTAAATCAGACTATATTTACTACACTTTACATTGCACAGAGCCCCAGTGCAGTTTTTAGATTGAGTTTCCTAAGAGAGGTCACATATGTTCAACCCGTGACAGCTGTAATTAATCTATTAACCAAGAGGAGAGCCATCTGCTAATTCACATAGCACGTGTCGTTTCTTTGAAACACCTAAATTCAGAGTCCTGCTGCTCCTCCATCATGTGGGATGGATGGAAAGTGTCCACAGACAGCCAGAAGCCATCAATAATCTACAGCATGCTGATGTGAGCAATCTTGTCTCTACATCACTCTCAGACTTTTGTCCGCAGCTCTGATTGATGCTTCAACACTCTGAATAATTTATGTGTGTCCTCATGGGCACACTGGGCACACATTACAATGCCAGCCATAATTACCTTTGGCTTAGCTAAATTGCCAAGAATATTTCACCCATAAAATAAATAACATTTAACACCCAAAGAATTGAGCCCAACCTAAACCCAGACATGAATTAACACAATGTCTTGCATTATAATATTTTATCCATAAAATACTGAAAGGCTTTTAAAACATATTCTTGCACCTTGAACCATTTTCCTTTTCATCACATCAGGGCAACAAATCCCAATGTAGTAAAGAGAAGAGCAGCCAAGAAAGATACAATATATGGTACCTTAGCAAGAGCTGCTACTATCGAAGATCAGGTGTAGGTTTTCTGCCGAATTTAACAGGAGGGGCAGAGTGGGACCTGCTTCTTCATGGGGACACAGAGCGAAAGCACGAAACCAAAAACAGGGGAACCAAAGAGCCGAGCGTGAGTCTGGAGACCCAAGATATGGGACATTGGCATCTATCTCTGCAAAGGTCTAAAAATCAGTCTCTATCAATGCACTAAGTATTTCATTTAGATTTCAGAGTGTTATTTTGAGGTAGTTAAAGCATTTTATTCATTTTCTTTCAATCTTATTTTCTAAAATAAGATTGAAACATCAAAGGTGTATTGTGGTTCTATAACAACTGTTATAAAGAGAATATTGGTATTGGTCGACTCTTTAAAGATCGATTGTCGACCAGAAAACTGCAATCAGTGCACTCCTAAAACATTAATCCATATATAGTGGTTACGCCATTTTAGATGAGTGTCCGAAACGTCTAGTGGAGGAAAAGGTAGTGCACTTGAAATTCCCCACAAAGCACCTCGAAAAGTAGTGATCAGCTATGGTCATTAGACAAGAAGATATACCCTGGAATGCTTTGCGAGAGCTCTCCTAGCAAAGCATTATGGGATTTGTTGTCACAGCGGCCCAGTGTCGCTACCCGACAGCAGCAACAAAAAACAAAGATAGAGCAGGCAGCCTACAGGGAGGAGGGGTCATGTGACCAACGGGGAGAAAAAAGGAGAGCTCATCTCTTCCAACGGTCAGTTAACTGAGTTCACCATAAAGTCCACTATATAGTCCCGGCTCTGTATATTTATTGAGCAATATAGGGGTTAGGGCAGATGTTCGGACACAGCCCGACTCAGTAAGACTGAAGCTAAAAGTGCATCACCTTTATTTTGAAATCATTATTGAAATAATTGTGAAGGTAAAAATATGAAATATATCCAAGGGACCTTTTATACGTTATGTACCAGTTCATAAATTCATAGGAATTGTATTTAATATTACGTCCTTGAGTAGCCATTACAGGGGTCAGAGGTAGTGTTACAGGGGCACGGGCCCCTCCTGGCCCCTGTCTAGAACCACCAATGGCTAGAGAGGATGTGGAAGGGAAAGGCAACAATGGTACTTGGTTATCAGGCCACTGGGAGGGTGGATCCAGCAGATTCCAGGTACAGCATCTGAGATCCCCGTCCAGAGGAGCAAAGTCCTAGGAACAGCTAAGGAACCATACAGAACCCGTCAAACTCCAAGGCCTCTGGTAGACGATCCAAACTCGGAGGAAAAAAAACCCCACAGGTTGAGTGGGGGAAAATGCACTATACATAATATATATATGTATATGTAATGGTATTGGTGTGTGTTGTACTGATGATACATTTCTTTCCTGACAATCTGTTTGTACTCTGTTAAAATGATGCTACGTCTCTGTAACTGTGAGGTAGCATGCATGGAAGCCTAAACACCTACATTTATCTCAGCCTTAAATCTCCACATCCAAAAAAATATACCATAAAAAGCATAAGATGTGTTTAACTGGTGCAGAGACCCTCCCTCTAAAAGATGATTTGCAGGGTTTAACCCCCGTGTGTAGAATAAATACAGGATATTGCTCACAGATACTGCATCCTGCTCCAGTATTGCACTCCCGCTGCGGCGGTGTTCTATTTTTCTGAATGAAGATCAATGAGGAAGCTCTCTCCAGAATGCCAATGATCACCCACAGATCCACACATTCACCACTAGAGGGCGACTACGACTTTACAGCAATCACTGCAGCACTAGGATGTGAGAAGGGTTGATATTAAGTAAGATGTAATGGCTCCAATGATAAGTGGAGTCTCCCTGTGTTTAGGTAAGGCATGATCAAGTTTTACATGTGAGCTCTTGTAAGTATAGCTTCAGCTGCATAAAGGGTTGACGCTCCAGCAGCATCCTTAGGGAGCAGCCGGGCAGAGAGTGCTGCATAACAGACCATGCCTCTGGGTTTAGTGCAGTGG